GGATTTTTCCTTCATTGAGGAATTTCTACTGTTTTACAATTGATCAGCAATTATAATTGACACTTTTATCGCGGGAGCTGTCTTCAATCGATTCTCAGACGCCTTCGTCAGGCATGGTAGTCCTGCGCGCAAGTGCGGTGGAAGTTCGAAGAAACTGCCAACTGGCTACCACAACGCCCAGCTTTCATTTCCAAAGAATTCCTGATGGTGCCAATGTTCCGCTACTGATTCTATTCCGAATGGTGAGGGTGAGAGGATAAGGAGAAGGAACTGGCATCAACGAGTGGGAAGTCCGTCCAACCACGCCCCTTCTTGGCCTTATGCACGTACAGTAGGCCGTTTAACATGGAGCATTTCATGCAGCCAATCGCTCAAATTGCGTTCTTAAATACCCATCCTTGATAGTCTTTTGACAATAGCGGCTATACAGCCAGGCTGAAATAAGGCGGACCCTTTTGCCAATGATAACACGCTTCTGACGACTCCTGGTGAGTCCTACTCTCCTCAAAATTCTCCTTCCCATGCACCCTCTCTTCTCTCATCACCCCTACATCAGAAAACATCTGTTTTGAATAATCTTATAAATCTCACTCGAATAAAACAACAGCGATATATACAATATAACGAAGTCGAACAGTCAAACACTACGCAGAGCGCATTTAGCACACATTTTACGAGAATGGAGAGGAGAACCTTCAACGAGACGAAAAAAATAAAGGCATTCACAGATTATCGTTTTGCAACATTCAACAACATTCGGGAAGCGTCTTCAAATAAAAATATCATGGATAGCGAAAATGAAAAGGCGATTTAGATCACAACGCTTACAAATAACAAATCGCAGCCATTAACATACACATAAAGGAATCGTAGCCATTTTCAGGACCAGAGAACCAAATTTGAATCGCGGTGAGTTCAGAAGCAGTAATGCAAGTTAGAGCGTAGGTTCGTCCTTCGAATAAACTCTCAACGACTTAAAACACTATGCTTTTTAAATGACCAACAGATAACTGAGCAAACGTGAGAAGTCGATGATCTTAAGAAAGGTTAGAAATCACGGTAGCTACACACGTCTATAGAAAACCTGTCGACAAAAATATCAACCAAGGCGCTACGTTGAGACTAAGAGCACTATTAGACGAATCAAAGAGCTATAGAAGCAACAAAAAGGCCAAAGCGGTGAGAACTGGACCCCATCGTGTTCAGTTGTTCGCCGTCTCGCCGAAGAACTCCCAGAGGTCTTGTGGAGGTCGTAGGAAAACAGCAACACATGTAATATTGTCAATACTCCCACCAGCCATTGCAGATCGGCAAAGGTGGTCGGACAAGTCATAAAACTCTGCAAAACAGTTGAAAATGGAAAAGGATAATTTGACAAGAATGCAAGTTGTTTCAGTTTGGCAAAGACGTTATGCCGTATTTATTTGAACTTACAAAATTTTTTCTGATTTTGAGAAGGTCGACTAGTATTCCTCTCTATTACTTTTTTCTTGGAATTATGAATAATTCGTCCCGCACGCTTAGCGCCTGCACCACCGAGCATTATCACTACATCGCTCCGGCACCATCACGAGAAGCTGGCGAGGCCAAAATAGTGGGGGCTACCAGCT